CGGCCCCTCGGCCCCTCGGGGCCCCAGACCTCCGCCCCAAGAGCTCCCCAGCCCCAGAATCCCCTGGTCCACCAGGCCCCAGCCCCCGACCCCCCAGTCCTCGGCCCGGACCCTGGCCGGGGCAGCGAAGACCGGGAGACCTCGCACGGGCGCAGGGAGGGGCCGCCCCAGCGAGCCGCGCACTCGGCCGGCCCGATGCAGGTAGCGCGCAATCCGGCGCCGCGCTTTCGCCACTGCTCTGGACAACCGTCTGAGAAAGCGAACCTACACACGCTCTGTCCTTTGATTACATCAGCTCCTACCGTGGCGAGGCCTCCGAATGCAGGAGGCTAGAGCCAAAATACTTTGTGGCGCCTCGGACGGCTCCAAAGAGCAGCGAATCTGCCGCCTCTGCTCGCCGGAAGTAGGGCTGCCCCTCGCCGGAAGTTGCGCTTCCTCCATTTTGTTGCCCGCTATGGCGGCCGTGTCGAGTTTGGGGCCGGGATGCGGCGCTTTTGACTGAGGGGGTAGGCCAGGCGGAGGCATTGGGGACATCCGCGCGGCGCAGAAGAGGACCAGCCTGGACGCCGGGGACGCTGTCATGTACGGCGCGAGCGGAGGCCGTGCCAAAACCGAGAGGAAAAGCGGCGCGAAAGAGGAGGCCGGACCCGGCGGTGCCGGCGGTGGGGGAAACCGAGTGGAGCTGCTGGTCTTCGGCTATGCCTGCAAGCTGTTCCGGGATGACGAGCGGGCTCTGGCCCAGGAACAGGGACAGCACCTCATCCCCTGGATGGGGGACCACAAGATCCTCATCGACAGGTCGGTTCCTCCCCCCACCCGCCGGTCCTCCCCTCCCCTCGCCCGCTTGATTTCGTCTGATGTTGACTTGATGGCCAGGACTAAGAAGGGGTTTTGTGGAGCCAGCGGGATCTGGGGGACCCCCTCCTCTGTCCTTGCGTCCCCCCGGTTCTGGAGGGAGGGGGACGGTGAAACCTGCCCTAAGGCGCTGGCTGGAGTGGCGTGCCGCGCGTGTCGCCGGAGGGATCGTCTCTGCTCCTGCAGCCCCTCGCGACCCCTCACCCCGGTCGCTGGTTCCAGTTGGCCCGTCCGCGCGGCGGAAGCTGCCCGTGCCCTGGCCTCTCCCGACCGCCGTTCCCGTGGGGTCGTGCGCTGCCTCCCTGCCCGCGGCGCTCCCGCAGCTCCGCGTGGCGGGAGGGCACCCCGAGACGTCGCCCGCCGAGGCCGCGCTGTTAGAAAACCTTTTGGACCCCGAGAGTTAGCCTTGGAACTTGTGTGCCCCCCGCGCCCTCCTTGTGGAGCGCCCCTAGTTTGCCGGCATGACATTTTGACTCCGCCAGCCCCTTCGCCCCACCCTGGGATAATCTGACGTGTTCTGACTTGATTCAGACCCAGGGTGAATTTGCCGATCAGTTGGAAGCCAGTTGACCTGGGCAGACGCTGGCTTTGCTCTTAGAGGTGGTGTTCTTAGGGCTGGTTTCACGGTCTCCTAAAACCTAAGGGTGGAACTGGGATGCAGAGGTGTTTCTTTTCAAATCAAACCTGCTTTAGGTAATCGCCCCGGGGGGGTGTTTAGCCGCTTTGGGCAGAGGGGTCCGGGGTGGGGGATTTCTAAAGATGTTTGGTTTGAAAAGGACAGCATTACATGCTGTAGGTTGTTTGCTCCCGTCCCCTCCCATATTTTCAGGCCCCCTTTCCTTCTCCTTGGGGTTCTTGTTTGTTGCTTTGGTTTTTTTTTTTTTTGCCGGTTTGGCAACTCTGCTTCTGGGGCCCGGACTGAAAAGCTAACGATGACCAGCCATTTAACTGTGGAATAGTGTCTCCGAGTGAAGGAAGCCCGTCGTTTGATTAAAGCTGGATTCTGCAAAGCCCTGGGACATGACTGTAGGGATGACCTGTGAGCTGGCCAGAATGGACACATTCATGACCAAATAGGCCTTTTTCCATCCCTGACGTTGCCGTTTGGAGTTAGATCTAGAGAACAGTGACTCTGGAAGGGAGGGTTGCCAGAGCAGGTCTGGACCTGACGCTCCATGCTCTGCTCAAACATGCTGTGCCTTTAAACCATAGTTTCTATCAATCGATGTTGCCTGAGTTGTCAGGCAGCTTGCTTTTCCAAAGTGTTGTGATATTTATTATTAAAGTTTGGTAAGCGATGAAGTCTGAGCTCTTTATGCAGTTTTCCATATCATTCTGTACATGATTGGAGTGAGGTCTTCCAAAACTAATGGGGAGCAAACGCTACACATGTACATGTATAATATTTTCAAATAATGATCTACATTTGTAAGTTAAGGAGGTTTACATCAAAAATAATTTTGAAATTTAATAAAGTGCAATAACTTGGCTACTCTGGAATTTTGGCCTTTTTTCTTGTAAATGTCTTTTTTATTTAAGTAATTTTTGGTCCTCATTACAAAAGTCAGCATTAAAAAGTCAGGCAGACTTTTGTTTGTCTCTCTTTGTCTTTGCAAGCCTAAATCTGAGTGTTTCTAAATCACTCATTTATTATTTGATATTGCACATCGACAGCAGCTTCACTGAATCTTTATGTTAAAAGTATAGCAAAAAGTGCCTTTATTTCTAATTTGGCTAAAGTGCCTATTGGTCCATGCACATAAACATGGATGTGTCTTAACGTATGTGATTTCCTGGGGGTATAAAGTTTAGAAGAAGATATTTATACTGCACCTGCTAATAGTTTTGCTCTGTTTCCAGTGAACCTCCTTAAACTGCACGTATATGTCACTGTTCCTATGTATGTGTGTCTCTCTATCACATAACCCAGCACTTATTTCCTCAGCCAAGTGGCTAGGGGGCGAGCCTAGCCAAGATTTTACCTCCAATGGACGCAAGTTTCTTTGGTGAAGATCTCTCCTGAGAGTTCGGGACTAGCAGAAAGAAGCGAGGAAATTTCGACCGTTGGGTTCTTACGGATAGGTATTTATGTATTCGGTTTGTGTGAATGTAAGCTATATTTGACTTTACAGAAAAAAAATTTTTTTATTTTTATTTTTTTTGCAAATGGCATTGAATGGTTGAGCAAACCATAAACGGTAAGCACTGCTAGTGAAGTGAGCACCATTTATGCTATTAAAGGGTTGTTTACCTTTAATTACAACTTTTGTCATATTATACAAAGGAATTTAGACTTTGTTACAATAACTTGAGTTTTTAAAAGTAGGTGAGCTATGACTAGCCAAATTAAATATAAATCTGAGAAGATTTTTTATGTTTGTTTTAATATTTTTATTTCTTTGTTTTAATCGGTAAGTATGTATATAAAACATCACACACAAACCAACCTAGACATTAACTTCTTTCCATTGACCAGCGTGTTCATATTACAGATATGATGGGCGCGGTCACCTGCATGACCTTTCTGAGTACGATGCTGAGTATTCCACATGGAACCGAGATTACCAGCTCTCTGAAGAGGAGGCACGAATAGATGCCCTGTGTGATGAAGAGAGGTATTTAGCCTTGCATACGGACTTGCTTGAGGAGGAGGCAAGGCAAGGTACTGCTCAAGAAAAACTTACTTAAGCAACAAACTTTTTAAAATTTTTTAAGTATTTAAAATTTACTCCCATTCATTTTTTTATACTCACTCTTTCTGATATTATCTTGACAGTACCCAGTGGATTGGAAAAACAGGAGTCTTTGCGTTCTGAGAGGACCTCAGGATAGTTTATATATAGAGCCACAAAGAATTTTCCCAGCTTTTGAGGGCAGACTGGGATTTGAAAAAACAAAAACCAAACTCTTTAACTGTTCTTCTTTAACAGTATCGTATAAACTAAAATTGATGTTCTTGTCTTTGCCTTAACAATCTTTAATACAGTTCTTAATCCCCAAATTTCTCAGCAGGAAGAAATTTTCCACAAAAGACGTGTGTTCTGCTAACTGTGGTAAACATGTACTGGCAAGAGAGTCCATGTTATTAGATGTGAGGTGTGAATTTGTAAAAACACGTTTGCCTCAAAAAGAGGTTGAAAAAAGTGTGTTGTATGCTTTACTGATAGCTACAACTTTAGAAATACGTAAGATTTTTCTCAGTAAGTTTCCATTTTTGTTAATAAAATTCTCATTTTTATTCAAGAGGAAGAATACAAGCGATTGAGTGAAGCGCTGGCGGAGGATGGGAGCTATAACGCGGTGGGATTCACTTACGGCAGTGACTATTACGACCCGTCGGAGCCGACAGAGGAGGAGGAGCCCTCCAAACAGAGAGGTGAGGGGGGGCTGCCGGCGTGACACGCGGCTGGCCGCATCCCGCACACGTAGCAGCACGGCCTTCACGGTAGGGGCGTGGACGCTGAGTAACGGGAACCTCACCGTGACACAGACAGCGTTAGCGGAACTCCGTCTTAGGGTAGAACAAACTAGGAACGAGAAAATGAAGCGTTCCTGGAGGTGGAAACTGAATGCAGGCCCTTGTCTGCATTGGATCTAGATGCCTTCCACGTATTTCTCTTTGACTCGGGTAACTGGAATTACTCACTCCGGATCTTTGTTTCTTAAGTGATGGTACATGAGTTGATACACGTGATTTGTTCTCACAGGCGAGTGTCACCTTACAGGATAGGCGTTAACTACCCTCGTGTGAACCTCCTGCTTCACATCCCCCCACAGCTAAAATAATGACAAGGCTCAGCAGGACGCCTGTGAAGTCACTTGCTGATCAACAGAGACGAGCCTGAGACCTCCCAGTTAGACTTGGTAGGACCCACAACACACACACAACCATGCGGTGTTGTGCAGTAATGTTTATATAAAATGGGAGATTTTAAGATCATACTCTTCTGGTTTAACTCTAGGAACTTTCAATATAAAAAAGTAGTGCCCCCAAAATATCTGGACTCGCGAGTGCAGGAACAGATATCCTCAGTCACTTTGGTAAGCCCTGAGAGCACAGTTATTACAGCCTTGCATAGTAATCAGACGTTAACTATCAATAACGATAACACAAACTGGAAACTTCAAGGCTAGATCAGTATGTTCAGGACGTTCTGTTTAAGGGGACGGAGAACTGTATGGGGCACCCGGCTGGCTCAGTCGTAGAGCATGTGACTCTCAGTCTCAGGGTCGTGAGTGCTAGCTCCACGTTGGGTGTGGAGCTTACTTTAAATAAATAAATAAAAATATTAAAGGGAAGGAGAACTCTAACTTTAGAAACTACACAAATGTTTAATAAAGTAGAATCACATCAGATAGGGATTTCGTTTCAGAGCTGACAGTTATTTGGGACTTAATTGGTTTCTCCTTCAGTTACAAACCTCCTGACAAGTCTGTAGTGGTTATGTCAGCTTGATGTTACAACGTGGTCCGCCCGGCCTGGTGCGGCCGTGTGGGGATCTCCTGCCCGCTTCACGGGAGGGGGTCGCCTTGACGGGATGTAGGGTGTCTTGCACAGATGCTTCCTTGTTGCCCTTCCCCTCATCCTGCTCTTTACCTCGTGGGCGGCAGTCACTATTGTCCAGCTGCGTCCTAGGGGCCTGCGAAGACTTTCTGCGAAGACTGTTCTGTTAAAGCCTCGTTACGGCGTTTCACACCTTCAGAAGTTAGGATTAGTGGAGATGTTCTTGCAGGTCCAAGAAGTAAGCACTCATTCCTTTATCCACAGTGAGTTACTTCTGTTAGGGTTCTGGATAGTTGAGATTCTGTTGGTTGGTTCCCGAACTGCGTACATTATGTCTGCTTTAAATACGTTGTATTTTTGATCAGAAGGAAGGAGTACATACTATATAATTTCATACATGAGAATGGAAGTTTGTAAAGGCCCAATGTCTTTTGCAAGATCAAGGGACAACTTTGGAAAAATCCATAATATGAATTTCTTAACATTCTTGATTAGGGATCAGCCTCCTGCCACCGCCGGCCCAACCACAGGTTGGTCTGAAGTTTCATGGGCGCTCAGCCACCCAGGCTTGTGGCAGCCTTTGTGGCTCAGTGGCAGAGACGAGCAGTTGGCCCGCAGGCCGCGTGTGGCCAGAAATGCTTACCATCGGGCAACGTCCAGAAAGTTGCTGACCCCTGTTACGCGTGTCGGATATTGTCTCTGTGTAATTAAACTCCTTTACAATTACTGAATTTTAAGAATTTCAATGTGATATAGTTTCTCTTCGAAGTTTTAGTGTTCTTTCTCTTTAAGTTCTCTTTTACTATTTTATAAATTTTTTTTATTTCTGTAATCACATTCTCAGGACTTTGCCTTATATGCTGATAACGTTTTTTTAAGATACATTTATTTGAGAGAGAGTGCTAGAGCACGCACGTCCGGGAGGGGCCTAGGGACAGGAAGAATCTGCAGCAGACTCCTCGCTGAGCGTGGAGCCCAGTGCGGGGCCAGATCCCAGGACCTGAGATCTGACCTGAGCTGAAATGAAGAGCCAACGCTCAACCGACTAAGCCACACAGGCGCCCTGCGGATTAATTTTTTTAATGAAAGTCGGGCCCATGTGAAGCTTACATCTTGGCTTTTTGTGCTTCGCTGATGCTAATGTAGGTAAAATGCCACTTGGTAGAATTCAGGTTGGTACCCAGTACCACTGACAGGGAGGTTTTACTTCAGTGTCGCATTACTAAAAAAAAAAAAAAAAAAAAAGGCTTTTTTGGTTTTCCAGTGCCATCAATGGGTTTAAATAATCCTTGATTTTCAAAGTTGCCATATTGTCCTGGCCTTTTGGGACATTTTAAGCTTCATGCTGTGAGCGTCTTTGTGTCTGTGCGTCACCCCCTGTTCCTTCCACATGGAAGATTCTCATGATTTTCCTGTGGTTTTTTTTTATCATTATTAAAGATCTTTTTTATGAAAAAAGAGGATTTGAATTTATTTGAATCTGAGTATTGTAATGGTTGTATTTTGTTCTGTGCTCCTAAAGCTATTTTTCTGCAAATTAAGGTGTGTGTAAGGACAGAGCAGCTCTGTGTAACCTCCGTGTTCCAAACAGCTCTTGATTTGGGCTCCTTTACTTCATGAGCAGCGGCACACGACGGCAAGGCTGTTTAAGAGAAAAATTTCCATCATTTTGTCATGTTAGGGAGACAGAGTAAACGTTGTACTTTGATAAGCACACCTTTGGCACTGTGCCCAAGGAGACTGAGATTTGAAGGTGCTACTTGACCTGTTGCAGACCAGGGTGTCCGGTGTCCTCCAGGCGCGCTGGGCCGTTTGGTCCCTGCTGCTGGGCAGGGGAGCTGCTGATCACAGGAAGCTGTCAGGCCCGAGTGAGTCTCTGGTTCTTGGGGGAGAATAAGGGTATATAAGTAGAAACAGGCGGGACGGTGTTAAATAATTCTTACTTAGGAATTTATAATCCACCTGGATCTCCTCAGACTAGAATACCCAGGTTTTTAGGTACGATGAAACCTGCTTACAGTTCCTCCTTGGCTTTGTAGAAGAATTAGGTTTGATAGAAAACATTCAAAATTGTTCATCTCATCAGGAAACCACATGTGGTGGAAACATTGGCTTTGATGAAGATTTCATGTTTACTTAATGTTATTTTTTTTGACAGAAAACCTAGTAGGTATTAAAATCCTTTGTAATGTTAGCTTTGATAAGTTTTCTGTTAGGTTTTTGTACATTTCACTATGTCCTTTTTTTAAAAGATTTTAATTTATTTGAGAGAGAGAGAGAGAGCATGAGGGGGGAGGGCTAGAGGGAGAAGCAGACGCCCCACTGAGCAGGGAGCCCAATGCGGGACTCAGTCCTGAGACTTGAGGATCATGACCCGAGCCAAAGGCAGTTGCCCAACCAACTGAGCCACCCAGGTGCCCTCACTGTGTCCTTTTAAGTAGGTGATCACCTGAGTGATTGCAAAGTACGCAGGTACCTTCTGATTCAGGAAATTTTGACGTGCAGAGCCCCATCTGACACTCGGTGGACAGAGCTGTTTGTAGATGGAAATGGGAAAGTCAGGGAGGTCATTTGCGTGGGTGGAGAAGTCTTGGCAGTTACACTTGAGGACTTTACGACTCGGTGGTGAAATCATCCCGCCGTCTGGGCATTGAATACCTGTGTTGTGCCTGCCTCCCTGGGGTTCCTGCAGAAAGAGCTCGGACGGGGTCCTAGTGCCAGTTAAACACACACACACATCACAGAGCTGGGAGCGGTCTGAGTGCCCGCTAAGCAGGGCACGTTGTGGGGAGACGCCCACTGCCAGGTCTCCAGGAGAGGTCAGTGCCCAGCAGCCTCCTCTGGGGGGTTGGTAATATAACCCGACTGGTGCATGCTGGAGCGGAAGAGGAGACGGGAAGGTGTTTCTAGAGGTGGTGATGGGAAGGTGAAGAACCAGGGAACGCCACTCGCGGCGGTCCCTCCACTGTTGCTTACTGTTGGTGGCCGCCTTCCTTCCTGGTCATCGTTCTGAAGTTTTATATTTTCTTTTTATACAGAAAAAAATGAGGCTGAAAACATAGAGGAAAACGAGGAGCCTTTCATTGCCCCTCTGGGGCTGAACGTGCCGCCTGACGTGGAGCTGGTACGTGTGCTTCGTGTTCACGATACTGCCCATTGTTATCAGTGTGGGTTGGGAGCACCGGGTAGCCCTGGCGTAGCCATGACGGCCCTATAAGTTCGTAATACTTTCTAATCATCTGTGAGTTCGTGGAGACAAAACCACACTCCACCTGTTCTCCTCCAAAGAAAAAGGGAGAAATTCCAGCAGAATCCCTAGACCAGAGCATCAGAGATTCGAGAAGCTGGCTCTCGGAGGTCACAGAATTGAGCCCCCACGTTTACCAGCATGGAGAAACCGAGTCAGTGAGCGGTGAGGGAGCTGCTGGTACACTGTTAGCCACGTTTAGACGTAAGAACAGTCTCAATCGTGGCAGCGTGGCTTGCAGGGAAGTGGCTTTGTCCTGGCTTTGGCGGGCACTTAAGGGAAATGTCTTTACCTTACCTTGCTGCTCTTGCACCCGGGCTTCCTGTCCCTTGTGATGAAGGCCCGGTGGCATCTCCAGGCCGCCTGGCACTCAGGAGGAAAACCTGGGTGGGACTCCTCTTGGCCTGAGTGCTCTGCAGCTCGAGCCTGGCAGAGCTGAGTGGTTCACCCTCCCTTCACGCCGCTATTCCAGCTGCATCTTGTGAGGTTCAGGCTGAGCTGCAGTGGGTGTCCCTGGGGGCCTCCTGCGCTCCCGGCGCTGTCCTGGAATGCCGACAGCCCCGTACACCAGCTTCTGTGCCCGTCCCCCTTCCACAGGAGGAGAAGACCGTGGCCGTGCGGGTGGTGGGCTGGAGCGGTTGGAGTGTTGCATGTGTACACTCAGTGGGGAGGGGTGGAAATTGGTGCTCGGTGTGGTTTTTCCTGACTGGATTTCTAGCGCCATGGACACAGGTGTCCTAGGTTCTTCTTGTGCCCTGGGTTCTGAGCCTCTGGGTGCACAGGGGGCCAAACTGTTCGTGGAAGGTTCTAGCCCCTGTTTTCATGTGTCGATGGCAGGTGGCAGAGCCTCCACCCCGTCCCTTACTGCATTTACACACTCACACCCTCTCCTTCCTTCGCTTTCTCAGTGTTTGTGCAAGTAGGAGTAAAAATGTGGATTTTGCTGAGTGGAATTACTGCTTATGTTTGCTTCCCCGTTTCCAGCATTCAGTTAAAGCTGAAAGTGTCATTTGAACGTTTGATATTCTAAGACTTGTGTTAATATGCTTTCTCTGTATTGTTCTGGATTATCTTCCTACTTGTTCTGGAACGTGCTATTTATTCTACGTGAAAGACCCATTAAAAACGGGTTGCTCCCAGGACGCCTGGGTGGCTCAGTCAGTTAAGCGTCTGCCTTCAGCTCAGGTCATGATCCCAGAGTCCTGGGATCGAGTCCCACATCGGACTCCCTGCTCCGCGGGGAGCCTGCTTCTCCCTCTGCCTCTGCCTCTCTCTCTCTCTCTCTATCTCTCATGAATAAATAAATAAAATCTTTAAAAAAAAAAAAACAGGTTGCTCCCTTACCTATGTTTAATGCTGAGAGCTTTTATTTAAGGTTGACTATGTGGAATTTTATTTATTTTCATGTGAAAGATTATTTTTAAACTATTATGCAAATATAAACGTGGAGGTATAATAGATTTTATTGTGTTGTTTACTTTTTATTAAAATATTTAATGGCTGTGTATTCTCAGCCAGAGTAAGCATCACTAAGCTATTTAATGGTCTGCCGGAGCTAAAAATAGTCGATACCCGTTGGAGAGCAGAATAGTAATTTGCTTTCTTTTTTTTTTTTTTTAAAGATTTTATTTATTTATTCATGAGAGACAGAGAGAGAGAGAGAGAGAAGCAGAGGGAGAAGCAGGCTCCCAAGGAGCAGGGAGCCCGATGCGGGACTTGATCCCAGGACACTGGGATCATGACCTGAGCCGAAGGCAGACTCTTAACCGTCTGAGCCACCCAGGCACCGTAGTAATTTGCTTTCTTAATGTTAAAGAGTTTCTTGTGATATTGTAGAGCGGCCTCTTGAGTAGGAAATGGTTTGATTCTGTGGAAACCGTGTCTGAATGCTGTCGGGGCGCTGCCGGACAGGGTTCCCTGCGTCCTGGTGTCAGGAGTTGGGGGCAGCAGTTCGTGGTCTGCAACTCGCACTGCAATGTCCCTGGGGGGTGGGGTGTGAAACGGGGTGCTTGCAGCGGGACTTGCGGTCTGTAGGTTGGGGGGGCATGCTGCCTCCATGCGGCGGGGCTGCCCCCACTCGGTAAAGAAAGCAGGCACTCAGGGCGCCTGGGTGGCTCAGCCGTTAAGCGTCTGCCTTCGGCTCAGGTCATGGTCCCAGGGTCCTGGGATCGAGCCCCGCATCGGGCTCCCTGCTCCACGGGAAGCCTGCTTCTCCCTCTCCACTCCCCCTGCTTGTGTTCCCTCTCTCGCTGTGTCTCTGTCAAATAAATAAAATCTTGAAAAAAAAAAAGAAAGGCACTCAGGGGTTCTTGAGTGTAAACTGGGCTTTTGGATTAGAGTCTAATGATTATAGGGTCTGTGGGGTTTGTGTGAAGAGTAAGGAGTAGTTAGAAGTCGTGGCCCTCGGGGAGGCAGATGTTGGCAGGTAGTCGAGACGGGCCGAGGCTGGTGCTGTCCTCGACAACACCGCGGTGGCCCTCCTGGCTCCATAGCCCACGGGCCCCCTAAAGGGACCTCACAGTTTTGTTGTAGCTTTTCATAGTGATTCTGTGTGTGTTTTCTTGTGTTTCTCCCTGGATATGTGGCGTGGTGCCATTTGTCCCAACATTGTGTTTTCAGCCACCTGTCCCCTTCTCGGGGACCTGGCTGCCCGTCGTGGTCCCCTCCTGAGCTCTGCACGCGCCCGGTCCCGGTTCTGGGTGTGCCCTGCTCTGTGCCTGCTTGTGTGGGGTCGTGTTGGTGCCCCACGCCCAGAGCGCCGCTGGGAAAGTGGAGGGAGCATCCCTGTGGTCAGCCCCAGGGACTGGGAGTGCTGCTGCCCCACAGACCCCCGTAGAAGTTATTGCTAAGGGAAGCACGTTCCTCTGAACACACTTCATGAACCCGAGGACAAGCAGGGAAGGGTTCAGTGTGTGATCGCCATGGTGCGCACCATTTCCGTCCCTTGGAGTAGGAACACCGCGGTGACGTGGGCCGACCGTGTGCTGTGTACCAGGCACCACACGCCGTGAGTGGCTCCCGTCCCCAGGCCTCCCAGCACCAGGGCGTGGGGAGCAGACGCCCTTGTCAGCCCGAGTGCGCAGGGCACCTGGAGGTCTGGGGAGGCCCGTGAGGGTCAGGCCTGCAGCCCCGGGCCCGGCTCCAGAGCTCTGCGCCTCGGACGGAGGCCCCACTGATTGTTCGGATTAGAGTGTTATTGTCATCATAATTCAGGGGTTCGGTTGCCATGGGATGGGGATGGGAAGCATCCTGTGGCGTTCTTGCCTTTTCTTTGGGATTTTAAGCACCGTTCACGTGTGGCGAGCGTGCCCCATGTGGGCCGTGCATGCGTGTTCTCCAGGTACCTTGTCTCCCAACCTCTCATTCCTTGCAGAATGTAGATCGCACGTATCACTAGATTCCATCGTAGCACCAGGATTTTGAATTTTATTTTGAAGTCCCTTCCCGCCCCCTAAGATTTTAAAAATATTATCCTGTTTCCTACCGTTGCATTTATAGTTTTTTGGATTTTTTTTACAATTGAATTGTGACTTGATGTGATATTTATTTTGGGCTGTGAGTGAAGTGGGCATTTAATTTTTCCTCCCCTGATCGTAGCAGAGGAGAGGGCCAGCCCAGCTGCTACGGGGGCTCCTCACTTTTCACTCTGCCTTCCATTCCCGTGCCACCCCGTCCTGGTCCCCCTGCTTCGGGTCTGAGCTCCAGCATTTTCCAGAGCTCTTAGGAGACCTGACACTGGCGTGAGCTTTCTCACCTCATATACTATTCTACCATTTCCCACTGTCTACCGTGCAGTTTTTAGAGCTGTGTCCGTGTAATCTGGGAGGACTGAGGAAGCGTGAGCCTGCCTTCTTGGGCTCAGTCACTTTCTTAAACCAAAGGTTTCCCCACGTGAGACAAGTATTTCCCCTTTTATCATCAGTTTTTGTAACACCTCATATATGTATATATGTCCTTGAAATCCCACTATATAGTAGGGATACTCGTGGTATTAGATAGAAAAAGATCGATGTAAAAATAGTGTGATAAAGAGAGCAAAGATTTTCCACACCAGGTGTTGGTATGTTATCCACTTGCTCTGGGAGCAGGTCCAGAAGTATGCTCACCACGTGCTCTGTTTCTCACCACGCTTTGTGGCCACTGTCTTTTTACCATGATGTCGTATCATAAATAGGCCTCCTTTTAGGAGATTTTAAAACAGCAGGTTAGTTTGGTCAGCAGAAAATGCCTCTCCATGGAGGCGATTGTAGCTTCCTTTCAAGGTCACTGTTCTGAATTCACTGTTAATGATCGACATGTGCGTGGAACACAGTCAGAGATTAATCATGCTGTTCACCCAAGCCATTGAAAATCTGCCTCAGGATCCATACTCCAGGCACAGTAGACCTTTGACATGGAATCTAGTTTATTTTGGAATCAATAAATAACTTCAATTGTAGGTACTTATCCTGTTTAAGTGTGAAGGACTTCAAAGTATTAGTTCAGGAATTAAATTTAAGAGTTAAGGCATTTATGTTTTATGAAGGATGTGGTTCTGGAATTACAGAAAGCATCTTGAATAGTTAACTGCCCATTTTTAATGAATAATTTCCCACATTATTTGCATGTAATTTCCAAGTGTTAATCTCTTCGTTATTATTAAAAGTATTTTTGGAGTATGGCTTTCAGCATCTGGTCTGACGAGCTCCATTTGTGGGTGGGAAATGCCAAGCGTGTCATGTAGTAGAAGTAACAGCAGCGCTGGCAGGGTCTGGTTCCTAGTAGTAACCTCCTCACTTGGAGGCAGCAAGATGGTGCACTCTGTCCCTGTGGGTAAGACCCTCCCTCTTCTGGCCAGACCACACCCACGTGCTGTGGAGACGAGTTAGGTACAGGAGCAGGAGAGAGCATGGGGCTTTCCTCACATGTCCAAAAAGGCTGTTTCCCAAGCTATGAAATCTAGCCCCAGCTAAGAAGGAAAGAGGAGTGATGTGTAGACACTTGAGAAACTTGGTGAACGTGTACCCCCTCCCTAGAAACGTGCATATGTACATAACTTGCATACAGCTTCTGAGGGTTCACAGCCTCCAGCCCCATCACAGAACCTGGTTACTGTGGAGGTACAGTGACTTGGTGTAAAAAAGATTGCTTCGAGTCAGTTCTGCTCAAAGCTGGAGTGGCCTGCCTCGGTCCGTGAGTTTTCTCCCCGTGAAATACTGCAGAATCCAGAAATAGACCAAAGTGTCTTGGAACCAGGGCTGTTCAAACTGGGCTCTTCCGACTGAAGTGTCTCTCTCTTTTTTTTTTTTTAAGATTTTATTAGAGAGAGAGAAAGCTCAAGTCGGGAGGAACAGAGGGAGAGGGACAGACTCCCCGCTGAGCACAGAGCCCAACATGGGGCTCAGTCTCATGACCCTGAGATCATAACCTGAGCCGAAATCAGGAGTCGGCCACTTAACTGAGCCATCCAGGTGCCCCTTGAAATGTCTCTTATTTCATATAATTGACAGTAAAACCAGTTTTTTTGTGTGTGTGTTTTAAGTCATGTGGCCAGTGAAAAAAGAGGAAAAATTGATCACGTGAATATGTATGTTTTTTCATAGCCACCAACAGCCAAAATGCATGCTATCATTGAGCGCACAGCCAATTTCGTGTGCAAACAGGGAGCACAGTTTGAAATAATGCTGAAAGCCAAGCAGGCCCGAAACTCTCAATTCGACTTTCTACGCTTTGATCACTACCTCAACCCCTACTACAAATTCATCCAGAAAGCCATGAAAGAAGGACGCTATACGGTGCTGGCGGAAAACAGAAACGAAGAGAAAAAGAGTATGTGAGACTGTGTGGACGCGGGGTCTGTGCTGGGCGGCCTCTGGGAGGGGATAAGCCTGCACGGCAGTATTTCCGGAATGTTTATGCCGTCACTAAGGCATGCTGATTAGATGGGGTAAAGCGCTTCTTGAGTAGATCTTGGAAATACACTAGATTCTTTTTTTTTTTT